CTTTCCCAATATTTCTGTCAGTCACTTGGGAATAGTCCCAGAACACAAACACATGAAGTATCAGTATACCACACAGTGGCAGCTGTCTGCCAGCATATTGTGTCAAACGAAACCTACATCTCTAAGCAGCTCCATATTTTGGATCCATGCGCTTAAGCTCACTCCCATTCAACCTCAAGCAGAAGGTCATTGGCTGTACTACATTTGTGTGGAATAACATCAAAGTGTAGAGCACCCAGTTAAATGAATTTGGCTTCTCTCCAAGAATTTCAGAAGATTTATTCTCAAGGCCATATTTCTACTGAAAATCTAACTCTAGCTGGGCAGCACTCCTGCAGACAGACCAAAATTACTGCAAGGTTGGTCAGCTAATGTATTAAATCATCCAAGGGCCACAAAAGCCTTATTGATTTGTGTAGGTTGCACTTCATAGGTTACTCCTAAAGGAGCAAAAGAGTTGATGATGTTGCTTGAAGGAATGATTAACCTGGTGTCTGCCCAGTTATGACTTGTTAGAACTAGTTACGAGAGCTATGCTGACATTTTTCCCCCCATAAGCAGAAGAGTCACATTTCTAGGTTTTTGGCATTCAAGATTAGCATTAAGCAAAGGTATTGGGAAATACCAACTGAAGATCTTCATCTTTTGCTTTTAAAACCAGGAAAATTCTCAAGAAAATGTTATTTACTGTTTTTGACCCATGGGAACCCTTAAGGTATGAGATGTAGCACATCTTAGCATCCAAATAATTCTTTGGCCATGACAGAAAAAGAAACCATAAATTTGAACTGCTCCATTACTCAGAATGTTTTTGTACCTCCCACCATTTTTAGTTTCAATTCCATTGCCCTGTCTTAACTGTGGTAATTACGGGGCATTGCACTGAAATGCTTCATCCCAATCCTGACCTCTGCAAGACCACTGAGGTGGAAAACCAACAGGCTAGCACCCTTTGATAGGGGGTTTGCCCCATTGTAAAAAAGCAAGATAGCATCTAAGTAGAATGTAGAGGAGGAGAGCACAAGACTGGCAAAACAGTGCATAGCAAGCCAGTCAACAATTTCTTTTTTTTAATGTGTTTGTGAATTCCATGGTCAGGAAGATGGAGGTCCTGACATTCAGGAAATCTAGAGCTGTGTCAGTATCAGGCCAAGTCTGGAAAAATGTGTATGTACTGGGAATGACATTCTGTGAGAAATGAAAAATGAAGATTACATAGAGTGGTCTACTCAGGGTACCTGAGTGTTTCTACATGGAAAATTAATTTAATTCAAATAAAAGCAAAACACTGTCCAATAAAAGCAAACAAAAACAAACCACAAAGAAATTACAGACAAAGACATAGCATCATCTGTACTACTGGGGTGGGCAGGAACAAAGAATGCTGCTGTTGGAAAAAGAAAGCATGATAATCCTACTCTAAACAACATGAAGGCTCAACAGAAATTCACTATTCCAGGATATTGAAAATTGAAGTGTATAACTCACTAACATAGTGGTAGCATCCACATTCACCTGGAAAGTAAGTTCAGTTAGAAGGCAAACACACAGAAAGTTTACTGTGCACTGCTGCAGGCCACAGTTCTCCAAAACAGATATTGAAATTCATATTTGTCATTGTGTATGGCTGGGATAAACTAGCTTTCAGAGCTATGTTCCTTTTAGACCTTGCATGTCTACCTTAACAGTCATTTTCTGTGTGCATGTGGGGCACATATATGTGTCATGTTAAGTTTTAACGTGTGTAGATGCAGTTTTGCAGTAGTACTTCTGTAGTCTTTCTTCTTCTGTCCCTTTTCTTTCAAGAGAGAAGTTTTTCTCACTGATCCAACAGTGGCTACTTCTAACCTAAGTACCTGATTACACAGCAAGATAAGCTTTTCACCACATGTGTCTTCATGTGACATTCATGCAATATCATCTAATGGACAACTACCTGGGAGGACAAGGAGGGAGAGGGAGATGCTGGAGCAGATGCAGATGTCATGAAGAAGAGGTTCAGATTGAGGTAATGTTCATGGCTGCAGAGAATTCTCAGGAACTCAAGTCTCATGGAAATTAGGGTGGAGAGTGAATTCAGCTTGTTTGAGAGCTAGACAAGGAAACAAAAAAAGTGCCAACTGATTGCCATGTACTATTTAACTTACCATGCAGTGAGATATCCTGCTCCCTGAAACAGAAATACACATTAAAATGCTCACTGTACCTAACTAGTTTCTATTCATTAGATGCTCTTTCTTGACAGTGATGTTGACTCCTTCCCCACTCCCCAGCTGACTTACCAACTTCCCAAGAGATAATGGTTTCTCTTTTTTTATCCTCACAAAACATACAGTATTTTTTTCTTTTGCACAACATGAAAATGAAAAACAAATTAAACTTTGCTGAGTCTGTGGCAAACTGATAAAAAGTTGTGCTAGGCAACACAGGGCAACAGTGGTCTTGTCATTTCCCTTCATAGCAACAATGACATCAGTGGAGTATTGTGCTTGATAGAGGAAAATGGGGTGGTAGCTACCTTGTGTTTTCCTACCTACCATCAGCTGACTGAGGGCCTTCCTTTGGCAGAAAAACTACAGCAGGCATAACAGGTCATGAAACAGAAGGAAAACATTCCCCTTCAAATTCAAAAAATAATTTCATACCAACATTCTGCATCATCATTTATTTGTACTTTGTAAAGCAAGAAGACAGAAATGTACCATTTTGACTGACTCCCCCAAATATAAATACTGTCCTCAAAGGACTGGAGGGGTCAGAAACCAAAGTTAATCTGTATGGCCTGCAGACCCTACTGCTAAGGGATGTAAAAACATAAGGGAAGAAAAGTGGTTCCATGGATGCCTTGCAGCAGTGCAAGGTGTGCCATTTCAAAAGAATCTTAACCCCCACTCAATTTTCTTTCTGCACATCACAAATCAAAAGAGGTTTAAAGTCACTGCATATGCAATAGGAAATAGGAAATTTACCTGGACCTTTAACACAACTCAAAGGATCTTGATGGATAAACTAATCAAACAGAACGGAACACTCGACTGGCCATAAACCAAATGTAATCCCAGTCATGCATAGTGCCTACCTGATTACAGTAATGTTTGATGAGATTGAACACAAATCCTCGGTCCATTAAAGAAAGAAGATCATACAAGAAAAATGCCAGGCTGATATTAATTTTTTCTGCTTGTTCACTTTCCTAGGAAAAAAAAATAAAATCAGTTATGATATATAAAATGTATATAAAAGTAGAAGACTTCAGAATCATGAAACAAGAGTGTAGGGGACAGTTCCCAGAACCTCCATGGGACATAAAGGGCACGATCGTTTCAGTTCTCCAGTTCACATGATTTTGTTAAAATTGCACAGAATCACTTCTGAAAATTATTTCAACTGTTGTAGCTTTCACAGAGAAATATTACAGGATGAATAAACAAATTCATCTATGCAAACCTTTGGGGCTGACAACAATGAAATGGAATTTGAGACCTGTTCTGAATTCCCTACTGGATGCAATTCTGCATATGACTTTTTTTTTTTTTTTTTAGAATGCTGGTTTAGGAACGTAACACAGTGTTTAAAAATATTAATAGAAAGCTGCACTGGCTTTGCTGACAGAATGGCAAGTAATTGTTTTTTACAATTTTAAGTGTAAAACTGACAGTAACAAAATACTGGTGAGATAAATCTGTGGGGTTTACCATTCAGCCGCTGAGCGCTTGCATTCTTGGAGTTCACCTGATTACCAGACATACACAGCCTCAAGTAACAATCACAAAGAACTTCATGTGCCCTCTAAAATCAGGCTACAGTTACTTCAAGCATATCAATTTAAATCATAAAATCCCAGCAGCATATGTAGTTCACCAAGAGGAATTAATGGAAATGCCTGAGGGATCTGCAAACATTTAATGCTCAGGGCCTTCAGATGGGTTCACTCAAAACTGATAGAAGAGATGACTGAGAACAGATGTGCAGCATCTCAGGGTGGCTATGAAATAATTTTTCGTTTTTCAACCTTTTTGTTGCTGTTCAGTATTCCTTACAATCTGGAGTTTACACAACAAAACATTTTTCTACTGTGAAGAAAAAAACTAGTTTTCCACTACCTTACTGGGTAGGCAAAAATATGCCAGACGTATTGATGTAGAAATTCAGGGCAATCTGATATGCTTAAGCATGTATTGAAACACCGATTATTACTGCTTGGATTTAAAAATCAGACACATTGCCTACTACTCTGTACAACTAACCAATGGCTCTAATTTTGAAAACACCACAGTGGGATTTTCACACATAATCAGGTTCTATACATTCCCTCTATCAAAATCAAATTGAATTAACAGCCCACAAAATCGTGTGTTTTTCTTGTGAGGAAGCCATGAATACTGACCCCTTGTCAAAGCCTACAGTTCTCTTAAAGACTACAGTTCTCTTAAAATGTAACAAGTTTTTATTTCACAATGTATTAAAAAGAAAAGTCACACCTTAAGTAAACATTTCTATGGAAATGTTTTCTCTGCACATGGCTATCATAGAAGCACACCAAAGGATCGAGCAAAGGGTAAAGCTTCAGTAACAACATTTTGGTGGAGAGTGACAATCTCTTCTGCCATTCTCAGCCCCCATTTGTCTGGTCTGGGCCCTTTCCCAGTTTCTGCTCCTCAACAGCACAGCAAGGCACACTTGGAGAAGTGAATCAGGAAACTGAGCTGTGTGAAAAGTGAGCTGGCAGGCCAGCTCTCCAGCCTGCTCTGTCCTGTGGCAGAGAACACTGCTGGGCTAGCACAGTGCATTTGGCAGCATTGGAGCATGAAAACAAGCCGGTTGCAACAACTGAACAACCACCCATTGCCCAGTGCCTATCTGTTGCCTTAACTTTGTCTGCTGGCAAGTGCACAGTGCTACCAATGATACAAGCTGACAATAGTAATGTTAAAACACAAATTACAACTTGTGATCCTTTTAACTTTATAATCTGTTGTATCAGTGCAACTTGTTAAAATAAGAAAGAATTTCATGGAACTCAGGGCTTATATTTTGTCTTTAATTTTCAAGTGGCCAGGGCCTCTTTAAAGAGATCAGAGGTTAGAACACAGGCTGGGTTTTGCAACCCTCAGGAGGAATACTGCCTTCATATTGCATAGCTAACTGCCACAGAGAAGTCAAATGAGATATAAAACAAAATGCAGTAGGAATGAGGGTAATGGAAAAGGGGGACAAAATGAACAAGCCCTTCTTGGGCTGCAGTCTGATGCTCTGGGTAACCTGGCATAAACCATCACTGCCACTGAAAATGGGTGTTCAGTCTTTCCTGTTGATGGGAAAAGGAATTCTCTTCTTGCACACTGCAGCCACACTGAGAAGCAGTCTGGGGAACTGGCCTGAATCAAAACAGTCTGCCAAGGGAGTGCACCGACACCACTCTCGCTTAAGGTCAATGTGAGAATATTGCCTCAGTATTGGCCTAATTTTAGCAACAATGCTGAAAGTGAAATGAGATTAAATATAGCTCAGTGTAACACGCGGTGATTAGCAAGGATACATGGTGCCTATTTCATGTACTTACCTTCTGTGGTTTGACTAAAAGTGCAGCAATCTCTGAAGTAATCACACTAACTATAGTGGTAATATCGTCTTTGAAGCGATCAGAGAACCAGTTTCTTCGTGGGTTGTCTTGCTTCTCTATGTTGTGAACATACTGAGCCATACTCTTTATCTGCAAAGCAGAAAAAAAACCCCCAACTAAACAAAATGCACAAATTGGAGGTAAACTACTGCTTTAAATTTGTTCATGAGAGTAAGATTTCCTACTTCTTTCCCCCTGAATGTAATCACTTCTCTTCTCAAAGCTGCTGTGATAAATCCTACATATACTGGCAACGAGAACAGAGAGCCTAAGACTCAAATGCAGACAGACATTGATTCTTGTTCATGTTCATGCTGTTGACCCTCTCAGCACCTGAAATCAGAACCACACTCAGCCAATCCCTTGCATCTGCAGCTGTGAAATGCTGCAGCCTGCAACTTTTGCCCTACATGATAACAGAACGGAGTGACACACTTGTGGAATTCTTATTTCTTGCCCTGATGTTGGGTTACATATATGCTGCCAGTGGAAATCAGTATGCTTTTCTCTACTGACATACATCACCTCAGGGCTCTGTAAAACTGAGTTTGTTAGCTTTGTCACTGCTCCCATGTTGTTAACAAAGTGGCAAAGACAGGAACAGGTATTCACAGAAAAGGAAGGGCTTGGTTTAATGGGTGTCTCTTAGTCTTTTGCAAGCTGTGGACCACTGCTCATGTAGTTCATGCAGGAATTGGTCATCACAGGCTGTCAGGAGCAATGGGGGTGAATATGGAGAATGCTTTAGTTGCAATTGCATTATTTGAGATCTCTTTTACACAGTGGGGCTGAATAACTGAAGAGGTCACCACCAAAGTAAATCTATGCCTGGATAGATTACTTACTAAACTCCACCATTAACTAACTGTAAAATACCATGGCCAAATCTTACCAGGAGCTCAAAGAAGAACCAGGCATACTTGAAGACAGATTCTCTCACCATCCCTGTGCTGACCACCATCTGCAGTGCCAGCTCCTCATGGAAATGCTAGATAATAAACACAGACTGTTGGAAAATGGCTTTCCAATTAACTCATCTTTCATTTTCAATACCTCCCTCTTCCCTGTAGGAAATTCCTCCATACTGGTAAGCATTTAGATACAGATGTGTGGATATCCCTGTAGGATCAGAAGGCAGATTTGACCAAAAGAACATTTAAAGAATGTTGGTGATAAACAGACTTTGGGTCCCATTTTTTCTATGGACCCAGGATCCTGGACAACTGAACAGGGAAATGCCTTTGGTCTACCCTCAGGCCACTGGCTGTGTGCATGATGGGGAGCAGTCACGTTTCTCACTACCTGCTGTGTGTTTTCATTTAGCACATCCATGGTTTTTGAGAGAAGTTAGAAGTAAGATTGAATCTGTGGTGGGGAGAAGGACACAGCAATAACCACAGCAGAGACTGTACACAGGTTTTTAGTAGGAGACAATACTTTCTGAACTGACCATAAGACACCCAATCCCAATATTTAAACTTTTAGGAAATTCAAGTCTGGACTAAAAATTTATTGCAAAGCCCTTTTCCCATTCCTGACACAAACAATATCTAATTGTTGTGTAACAATGTCACAGTTAATGATATTCTGAAGCATATTTATATTGAACAGGGCCTACTAATCCATACAGTATTCAAACCGGGCATAAATCTTTGCTTTTTGACAGAAATCAAACCAATAAACAACAGTAGACTAGAAAGTTTCTAACTGCAAATCAGATTCTGAACTGCTCATTGCAAGACTTTCCTCCTGCTTCATCCAAAGTCACTGCTGCTGATCAATCTCAGACACAAAATACAGCTCTGGAAAAATTATTCGTGTGATATGGTATCTTCTGCATTGTTAAAAAGGTATTTGGGAATATACACTCAAGATAGGAAAGAATTTCTTCATTCTAGAAGGTACAAAAAGGGACAAAAAAGTGCATTTCTTACAGAAGAAAGAAGTGCCAAACATTTCTGAATGGAGTTTACTGTAACATGTAAAGGCAGGTATCCAAAGGTAAACAGCAGTGGAAGAAGACAGAGGCTTTAAGACCTTGAGAAAGAGAGCAAAGGGAGGATCCAGGCAGGCTGCTACTTGTCTAAATCTGTCATAGAAAAAGAATCTGAAGACTCTGGAGCAGAAGCAGAAAAGTTTGAGTAATATTTTCCCCCTGATTCAATACTCCATCACAAACTGACTGTTTGATAAAACTGGTTGTTATTTTGTGCTCTCTCCTTTCCTCATTCAGAAGTACTAATTAGAAGCACTGCCTCAGCACACTCCTGGTTCTGTTAATGAGTTCCCTCACACATAGCAGTAAGCTACCTTTTTATTGGATGGTCTTGGGCTTGCACAAATACTTGACCCGTCATTTGTTCCTTCAACATAGTAAGACATCCGACTGGAGCTGTGATCCATAGGCTGCAGAACATAGCCAGAAGAAATGCATAATTTTAAGTTTATAAATAACTTAAGCTCATTAACAGAGAAGAAATCAGCAGCAGTGGGTTGTTTGCTCTTTTTCACTAAGGCGTGCACAGACTGTTCACCTACACAGCTCTTCTCTTTCCTCTCCCTATCCCCCTTCCCACTGGAGGCCAAAGACCACCCGAGAGCAGCAGGCGCGGGAGGGTGCAAACGCCAGCACTGCCATCGCGTGCCAACTGACAGCACTGCAGCTGTACTCGGAAGGTAACGATTCACCCTTTAACAGTGTACGTTTATCCCTCGACTCTGCATTTGAAATTAATTAACATCTCGCAGTCTTCCTTCCACTAAAAGTAATTTCCATTTAAATGGCCGTGAAATGACAGGAGCCAATTGTAAATGGCTACACTTTGGTGTGATGAATCTGGAATATCAAGCATTTTAATTTTGTATTAATTTGGAGGAAAAAATGCTTTGAGCTCTGTTGTTTTTTGGGGGTTTTTTTGCTAGGACAGAGTACATTAGATTAAAATTCATAAAGCTATTAAATTCAAATCTACAATATTAAAAAATGCTATGGATGGATACATATGCTCACATAAATAAATCAAATAGATTTTCAAAGCCTGTGCATCTTTGTAGTTCTTGTTTAATTTGCTAAAGACAAGCACCCATTCACATTAACTGGAGAGGCACATGGTCATTCATTGAAGAAAATACTTCAAAATGTTTCTGAAAACAACCTGCTTGGGAAGCAGTATTCTACACAGGTAACACTCAAAGAAAAGACAGGTGGGATATGGTTCAGAGCTCATCAGACATGCTGCTGTAGAGCTCTGCCAGGGCTGCAGCTAGCAGCGAGCTCATTTTTTCTTTTGTCAGAAGCACAGCTTCCCAGCTCCAGCTGAATAGGGAACTCTAGATTTTGGTTTCCCCAGAGCACAGAGCACAACCATCCTCATAAAGCTCTGAGATGAGCCTGGGATGCTGTGGACCACCAAGCACCAGGTGCCAATGAGAGAAGCAAAATCCTGCTTCTTGGATGTCATGGATCTTTCTGTCCTGCAAGCTGTTGGTGGCATATGTAGCTGTGGAAATACAGTGGAAGCTTGTGTTCCACTCTGTGGTGGAATTAAGTATCTGGAAACACACGGTTACAAAACATGCACATGGCATCTGTACTGTAGCCAATATAAAATTACGGGGTTGTTGGCATATTATTGGCTACCTTTTTTATTATTTTAAACAGGAAACTATGTAACACCAAACAGGTTTGTGACTTAAAAAGAAATAAAAATTTAAAAAAAGGAATACAAAAAGAAAGAAAGAAGGTCTGTGCCTGACTCTGCAACTTGGATCAGACCATATCACCAGATGTGAACAGAACCTAAATGTCCGGAATAACAGGAGAGTAAGGCACATCAACAAAGGAAATCCTGCTGTGGAGTGTTTAAGATGCAAACATAGGTCAGAGTTCTTACCTCTTGCTCTCTTCACTGGTAAAAGACATCTGAATTTAGCAAAGGGATTTAATGTCTCTCTATGCAACAACAAATACTTTTGGTGATAAACACAGCGCATTTACAAGAAGTAAATCCAAACCTCAAAAACAAAGTCCGATTTTTAGGTTTTAGGTTGTACCATTCTCCAGATATTTGACTTTGTTCTCTTACTTTGGATGACATGATGTTTTTGACCTCCTCATCAGCAGCAGTTTGTGTAACAGTGATGTCAGGATTGCTGCAGCTTATCATTCGGCTCTGCAGGAGTTTACTTCCAACAGCTGCCGCGGAAGTGCGTCCAAATGTGTAATAGCGAGACTCTGTCAAAACGGCACCGCCGCCTGCACCTGCCCACAGGGAGATGTTTGAATTAAGACTAAAGGACATATATATGAGACAACGTGAGATTCAAGTTAGCTTTGCTCAGTGCTGTTAGAGCATCAACATACCAAAAAGCATAAAGCTTCTGAAAACCCCACCACCAACTGCTTCATTAACAAATTACATAGGTATTGAATAACAACACGCAGATACTTCCCCAGTCAACAGCTCACAGGGTGATTGTACAAGCAGTAACAAAAGATTAATAGAGCTACCTGAGCAGCAGCACTGTTAAAATAGCTCTTTCTTCCCTTCAGCTATTTTTAATTTGCTGTAGATGAAGACAATATTCACAGGCCTAAACAAAAAATACCTCCTTCAATACATAACATTTAATACCACATGCAATGTATCCAAGGAAGCAGGGAGCACTACCATCAGGAATTTCACTAAATGATTATCTAGTTTTCAGTTTCACCATGTACCTTGTTTTTCAGAATAAAGAATTTCCAAGAATAGGCAAGCTCAGAGAATTTAGCACATCTTAACATCAGTCTAAATGTCCCTCAAGGGAGATTTAAATAAATTGAAAAAGAAAAAGGCCTACATATCTTTAGCTCCCACAACACAGGTGTGTGGTGGTAAGTAATTTAATATATACCAATTGATCAAATGAATTCTATAGGCTTTAGGACAATGACTACAGTGGAATAACAGAATGACTACGGTTGGACAGAACCTCTCAAGGCCATCTGGTCCAACCCATCTGCTCAAACAGAGTCACCCTGATTCAGTGCCCAGGATCATGTCCAGATGCCTTTTTACTGTCTGCAAGGTGAGAGACTGGGGCAAACTCTCTCTACAACCTGTGTCAGTGCTTGGTCACCCTCACAGAAAAAAGTGCTTCCCCGTGTTCACCGAGTTTCAGTGTGTGCCCATTGCTTCTGTGCTGGTTTGAGCTGAAGTAGAGTTAACTTTCTTCATAGAGGCTAATATGGGGCTATGTTTGGGTTTTGTGCAGAACACAGAGTTGGTAATGCAGAGATGTTTTTGTTATTGCTGAGCAGAGCTTACACAGAGTAAAGGCCTTTGCTGCTTTCCATACTGCCACGCTGGCAAGGAAGCTGGGGATGCATGGGAGATTGGGAGGAGACACAGCTGGGACAGGTGACCCAAACTGACCAAAGGGATATTCCATACCATATGACATCATGCTCAGTATATAAGGTGGGAGGAAGAAGGAGGAAGGGGGGACATCTGGAATGATGGCATTTGTCTCCCCAAGGAACCGTTACGCGTGATGGGCCCTGCTCTCCTGGAGATGGCTAAACACCTCCTGTCTTCGGGAAGCAGTGAATTAATTCCTTGTTTTGCTATGCTTGTGTGTGCTGCTTTGCTTTCTCTATTAAACTGTCTTTATCTCAACCCATGAGTTTTTGTAGCCTTTACCCTTCTCATTCGCTCCCCCATCCTGTTGGTGGGGGAGTGAGTGAGTGGCTGTGTGGTTCTTTGCTGCTGGCTGGGGTTAAACCACGACAGTCCTTTCTTATCACTGGGCACCACTGGAAACAGCCAGGCTGTGTCTTCTTTGCACCCTCCCTTCAGCTCTTTGTGTACACTGAAGATCCTTCCTGAACCTTCTCTTCTCCAGGCTGAACAGTCCCAGCTTTTCTTCATTGAGGAGATGCTCCAGTCCCTTTGTCACCTTCACCACCCTTGGCTGGTCTTTGCCCAACATGCTCATGTCTCTCTGGGAACCCCAGAACTGGACACAGCACCCCAGGTGTGGCCTCACCAGGGCTGAGAAGAGGAGAATGATCACCTCCCTCAACCTGCTGGCCAACATACAGCATTTTGTCCTCTGACAGCATCCTTAGTGCAATGGAGAAATTGGTTGATCTTGGCCCTATACAACTTGGCAGTAAGTTAGTTTGCATGGAAAGTAATTTACTGATGCACAGGTCAGTAAGAAATTTGCATTTTGAGGCCATTTTAATTTAGGAATGAAATTTTTTTAAGGAAAGCTTCAGTTTAGGCAGTTAAGGCACTATCTCTTGCTTTCATCTTCATGAAGTTACAACATTGCTTGTAGCTGTGGAGTCCTCTCACCTCAACCCTGCATCTTAAATGAATAACTGATTGATGGAGATTATGAGCAAGTCCACGTTGCTCTTTGCAGCACTGATATTCCTGACCTTCCTCTATGAAAAGTGATATACCAGAACACTGCAGTACTTAAACAGTATGCAGTCTGGGTCTGAGAAGTTGCACTTGCGATCTTACAGGTCAAGTCCTTAAATCCTCCTTTCAGAAGTACAATGCTGAATAGCACATATCAAGAAAGAAAGAACACTTTTGGAACCCTTGCACCAATAATACCTGGTTTGACTACTTCTCTTTGAGGGTCTGGCAGACGAAATACATAGTACACATAAGATGCCAGGAGGCAGTTCCTCCCATGCTGGTCTTTGGTCATCTCTTTGCTGTTGTGGAGACTGGTTACTATTGAAACCACAGATTCAAAGGCAAACTGTGAGAAGTTGGCTGTGAAACAAAGGTAAGAATTAGTGCCAGCACTGAAGGGTATAATGTAATTAGGTTAGGACATTCTTTGTACCAACAACTAACCCTACAAGTTTAATTCAGTCCTGAACAAATTCAGAACTCTAGTCAGCAACTGCTGTACCTGACTAGACACAAGCTCTACATAGGCCAACAAACACTCTTCAGCTGACCCACTGACTTTCAATCCAGTCAGTCCTATTCCATCACTTCATGCTAGCTAAAAGCAGACTGTAACTGTTAATTACCATTTTTAGCAGCCTTCATGCATTTCCTATAAACTACCTACTTGAAGAACACTAAGACTCATTATTCTCCAGCTGACAGACAAATACAAGCTAGCAGGCTTTTGCACAAATACGGCAGTGGATGGCAAGTGTTGATGAGACAGGAAATGAACTATACCAGTCTCCATATGCCTTCCCTCTGGAGTTAACATATGTGACGGGCAACTGGCAGCCTCAGTAACAGAAAAATCAGTGTGCGCTACTCTACCCTCTGGTTTTGTGCTCAATCAACTCTCTCTAAAGATATTTGGGCCAAGAACACAGTGCAGACAGCAGTGTCAGCTGTAGGATAATGACTTTGATGGTGTTTTACTTGCAAAAATCCTGAATTCCAAACAAACTTAAACCACAACCCACTTTCTGACCTTATCTGTATTTTCAGATAAGTAAACAACTACAGTTTAATGTATCTCTCAACCAGAATCTGAAAGACTTATATGTACGAGGAAAGGACAGAAGGCAGGAATTCAGTTAAACCTGATTAAAACCTGATTGTACAGCAAAACTCTGTCTTAAGAAGCACAGCTCTTTCTGGAGTGGATCACTCCAAATGCTAAATCTGAGCCTGGATATTTAGCAATCATTTCCCCCATGTTTTCGCACTGCCATTTGAGGGCCATGAAATACCTGTCTGGCCAGCTATGACCATGGGCTGTACAGCCAGCTGGAAAAGTTTATCCAATACCAAATGTAAAAACAAGACAAGAGGTTCAAGGCGTGAAGAATTCAAACAGATAATGCTGAGTTTCAATTCATGTTCCAGTGAAGCCTCTGTAATCTTCTGATCCATCAGTCGAATGGGGAATGTAACTTGACTCTCCAGAGAATGGCACAAAGTGAAGAACTTCTCCAGGTGGTTGTCCTGCAAACACAGTGCACTCACAGTTAACAAAGTCGATGCAGTTTGGGCTACTGCTAGATAAGCAAAACCTGATTGTACCACCTGATGGGATGACAGAAAAAATTTTAACCCTTCTGGCTTTCAGCAGTGGCTGGTCTTAATGATCAATTTGTAAAGCAGCTGTCACAGTCTTTTGTTTGATCCTTTTCATCTGGCTCAAATTCAGACTTCGGTTAGATTAGCTTTAAGGCAGAAAAGCTGAAGCCCTCACTAAAGCGATTGCTTCATTTACTGAAAAGACTGTTAGCTCTTTGTGATAAAACTGTCGTGTCATAGGTCTATAGTCTCTCTGCCATCCCTACTTAAGTTACAGCTACATACAAGTTATATGCCCTATGAGTATGCCCTACTTATATTTAAAAAGCATGCTGCAAAGAGGTAATGGACCTGCTTCAGACACAGCTGTTAGGACACAGCTACCAGGATTAACTAGAGTGGGACGATGGCTAAGAGACACTAAAAAGCAGAAGAAACAACTAAAGCTGCTCTGCCTCAGACTAGTATCTCAGTAAGATGGGCAAAGAGTCAATATCCTATTGCATTTAAATTACCAGAATCATTGAGTTCTCATTCAGCACTAAGCTTGTGCCCCACACCACATGGCATTGACAAGTGAGCTGCCTCATGCATACTGGCAGTGTATAACCTGTCCATAGAGTCAGAAAGGTGCTTTGTGTCTGGAGATGTGGACACGTAGTTTCAACCAGCCTTGCAGAACAGAAGATAGAGATTGCAGAAACTGGGACTGTGCCCTGACAGTGTCTTTCAAATGCATCTTAGGCGGAGTCCTGCTAGGCTGAGAGTGTACTAGGCATCCTGTTGCTTGATGCGAACTGTTCCTGAGAGTGCTCATTTGTTCAGTTGTACCAATAGATTTCATTTCTCCAAAGGATTTCATTCACTGAAGGTATCAGGTTATTTCCACAGCTCAGGTTTTTTGAAATTCACGTGGCTTAAACATCTCAATTTCAAAAACCTGCTAAGTCAGTCTGGACATCTGAGTTTTCTTTAGAATGAAACTACAGTTTGTGTGTTGCTTCTGACACATTACCTGAGTGTGAACAGATGAAACAGCTTGCACTTCAACAATGAAAACGCCCTTGTGTCCTTCGACCCACTTAATTGGTGGTGTCTGAGATGGAATTTTCTGTGATGAAAAAAGAAATATGGGAATAAAAAAGAAATATTTTAGTGACCAAACAGAAAATCTGTTTACATGGGGGTCTATAGGGTCTTCACACTATTTACTTCATTTTAGATATCCAAATTCAGTGCAACGCAGAGGACTGCAGCTAGAAATCTCCTGGTTCTCATAAACCAGTGAGAGAGAGGTTGATGCATTCAACAGGGAAATTTAGAGACCTTCAGATAGATGTCTAGCACAGACTGCATGAATATACATCTTTTGATCAGATATTGTTGAGGCTAAAATTTCTCAGCTAAAGGAGTGCCAAAGGCACTCCATGGTAATGTGTTGCAGATTTAACTCTCTGGACAGTTTCCTGCTTGCCATATTTACTCAGAGGGCACAGTTTTCTGCTCCAGTAGCAGCACCTGATTCCATTTCTCCTCCCTCTCTCACATAGCCACAAAAGAAAGAGCAAATCATCCTATGGGAGAAATCAAATTATTGACTTGGCATCCTCTAAGCAAGTAAATGTATCCCTGATTAGACAATTTATAAGAATTTGCTCAAATAACTAACTTTTAAAAAAACAATATAACAACATAAAATAATAACAACAGTCACAATAATAACATTTTTCTCCAGACCTTTCTGCTTTTAAAGATCAAAAAGGAGGCACGGCCTAAAAGCAGACAGCAATGTTAGTTTGCAAAACACTTATGCTGTTCTTCTACACTAGGAAAATATTATCTTTTAATAATATTGTTTGTTACCTCAGGAGAGTGAATTGAATAGTGGACAGGCAGCTTATCCAATGCAACAGGAAGACAGTAATGTCCAGTTTGAAGACGATCATTTAATAGAATTGGCAGCCACTGAAACAAATGGAGAGAAATCACAGCAATATTCATGATGATATATGATTAGAGCTATTTATCTAATTTATTAGGTACAGTCAACAAAACAACAAATGAGATATTGACCCAAGCTTCTCTGCTTTAACCCACTCAACAGTAATTTCTTTGCATTTTAAATTCACTGATAGCTACTGTAGAAAAATGTACAAGAGTGCTTTACAAACCATCTCTTTTGAAGAAAACAAACACAGATCTTCTCATGTGTGACATATATTTTTCTAATAAATCCTACCAGAAGGATTTAGTAGAGTCCCTGTTATTATTTGAAAACTCATGTATCTTGAATACACTGATCCTTGGTTTTGAAGCAAATCAACAGAGGTAAAGTTTTGCTGAGGATAAAATGAACATCTTCATTGTGGTCAACATGAGGATTAAGACCACACTGACATGTCATAGCCTTGCATTGATATTTGGACATATTTAATTTTTCTCCTATCCAAGTCTGGAAGAGGCTGTGCTTTTGAATATCACAGGGCAGAAACATTTTGTATTTAGGTAAACAGAAACTTGAAAATTAAGTTCTCAGTCATGCTCCTGAACTACAAACTAATTTACTTCTTACCAATCACACTGACACTGGTGGGACTACAACTGTCCATAAAAGAAAGCCTATTTGAAAGGATTCTCAGGACTGGTACTAAAGAAACCCAAACCCCAAACCTCATAAACAAACAAAATCCACAAATATGCAACCTCCCCATACTTTATAGCAGGATCATGTGGAAGGCACTTGTCTGGCCCCACAACTCAACAGCTGACCATAACAATAGACACTTTCCAACCTGAAGTATTATTATCTTCTATGCTTTCCTTTTATTTTAAAATCTCTCCAGTTAATCTTATTGATTGATAAAGAAAAAAGTCAAAGAGATTATGTTATAATATGTATTTCTTAACCTAAAACATGCCCTTGTCCTTGCCCTTGGGGATTGCTTAAAGCAATGAATGATAATATCCACCTGTGCCACTTCACAGCTGTGTGTGCACATATGCCAACACCTTTGCAACTCCCACTTTGCCCAGCTTTGCCTCCAGGCTTCACCTCAGACCTGTGCTGTCACTGCAGCCTTGCTGGTGATCCCTAAACTATTTTCTGCCCCTGATTGCTGTCTGTAGCACTGATCCTGATTCAGACTTCTTGTTCCACCTCTTGGTGAAGTCACTGCTTCTGCCTGACTTGTTACTGCACTTTGCTCCCACTTCCCTTGCAGAGCAGACAGACCTCACGGCTCCGGGCATGGCTGGAACACAGCAGGAGCTGGAGCTCAGCTGGGGCCCAAATGGAAGAAACTGGCCTAAAATCATGTCCCACAGGAAGAGGGGAGTGGGGTGAATCCCAGCTGCAGCCTCCCTGCAGTGCTGTCTGGAAGCAGTCTAGCCAAGGCCACCAAAGGAAGGGACAGACAGCCCTTGGCTATATTAGATCACCCTGAGCTCAATGTGAAAATGAAGAATGCAAGAGATTACATTTTAGTTTTCAGATTATTTCTGGGTTTTAATTATTTTATGTGGACAAAAGAGAATTTAGAACAGAAATTATATGCCATATAAAACCTAACTGAAAATAATATATTAGCTGTTGCCTCACGTATGAACATGATAACAGCAATAATTGTAATTGTATATGTTTTAGAGTTGGGGTTTTTTTGGCAATAAAGAGAATCCAACAGAATTAGATTATGTTCTATAAAGCATTGCTGTTGCAAATATTTAGGTGCATACTTCAGTTGAATGAGGTGGGTTTCTAAAGTTCAAACACATTTAACAATGTAAAATTATAGGATGAGGATGTAACATAGCACAGGTTGCTTCTAGTTTCTATGAATTCACACTAAGACCTTCTACTGGTTTTGATGTATTACCACAACCAGAAAGGGAATAAATTACAAAATTACAGACAAACAAAGAGTCTGTTTGCATGGGATGTAGATACACATACACACACAATATATATCACATGAAACTTACTGAATAGCCTAGAAGGGTTTCCACAGATGCTCCTTGCTTTGGTTGACAGCTGATGTGATAGAATGTGAACAATAGATGGTGTTTCTCTGTGAGTTTTGCTGGCAGCTTAATTTTCACTTCTTCGTAAAAGTCAGGAGACCTATTTAAAAAAATGCCAAGCACATTTCCAGTGCAAGTATGAGACTGAACAGGAAGCAAATTTGCCAGCAGGCTTTTGGTTATAAAACTGTATAAATCCTGAAAACAGACTCAGAGCTGAGTTAAACAAAGTACATATATATACAGCCATATTTATGAACTATCTACAGCTTTGAGTCAGGAAGAGAGCAGGCAATATCAGTTGGACTGTTTCAGCTTCCAATCATCTCTATACTTTCAAAACCATTCAATTTTAATTTTGGATTCCAACATATCTACTGTGCAAATCCTAAACTCCAATTTCACATTCATGAGAATGTCCCTTCAGTTCTTTTGGATTTGTGAATTCATTGAAGTGAATGATGTTGAAGGTTGTGCTGCTTCTTGCTCCTATTCCTTAATGTTCATATTAGGAATATCCTCAATTACTGAAAAGTTTCAAACAGGAAAGCAACGGTCACTTCTGCAAATGCAATTCAAGTTAGATATGATAAATTGCATAGAATGTAAATGTTTAAAATGGATTAGTACCAGCATTCCTTGATGAACTACGTAGGCTAAGAATTATGAAAAGAGATCATGACCAATACTTCTCAAGTCACATGAATAGCAAACACTTACTTATTATGATATGTGATAGCTGTGTATACTTCTTGTACAAATTCTGGACCTGAAGACTTCCCAAAAATTACCTGCATTAAGAAGAAAAGAACGTAACAGCAGTCAGGACTAAAGCATTTAATTGTCATCACTTTGTATAAATTTTAAGGCAGTAACTGAAGACTTAAAATGACTCCTCCATTTTATCTTAGCTCATTGGCACAAATGTCTTATTGCAATGCACCTTCCTCATACACCAGTCAGGGTAAAACAGAAAAACAGAGCAAAGTTATTTCCGTGGCCACTGACTACCTCACATCATATGCTCCAGTCATGTACTAAAAAGTCAGAAATACAGGAATAAAATTATGATAAGCCACTTACACATTGTCACACTGCTTTTCAGTAAGTGCTAAAAAGTTAAATTAAAAGTATTTTTAGAAGTTTTTGTTCAGCTGAAGCCTGCCCATTTAGGGTGAAACACATCTCATCTTTCCTTAGAGGTCCAAAGTTCCTTTACAATCAATGAAGAGAAATAGGAATTTCTGGTGCTTGGTTTGCTTCCCTTGTTTCAGACACAGCCCCATGGTAAGGTCCTGGAATCCACTAACTTTAAAGTGAGCCCTGGGAGATGATCTTAGACAAGAATCTGTGTACAGCACAAGTCCACATGTATTGAGATGAGGCTCACTTACAGCAGAGAGGGATGCCAGAAGAAGTGTGTCTGTCCTAAGCATTTGTCAAAACCTAATTGCAGCATGCGCAGTTTAAGGAAACCAACAATGCAGTATTGTATAAAAGAAGGTGTTATATTCATATGGCACAGCTCCAGCTCTGGAAGAAACATGGCCTGGGAAAACTGTGCTGGTGCTCTGATTTCAATCCCAGAGGTCACACAGAGCAAGGCTGTGAATTATGCACTGTGCAGTGTCAACATGATGATAAAACTTGGGTGGGTGACAGTTCTGGGTCCAACATATTGCTAGAGTAAAGTTTCCTCAAAGTAATACTTTCACTCATTTTTTCCTTCTCTAACACATAAAATCACAGAAGATTTTTATCTCCATGTCACTCTCAAACAGCCAACTACACTGTCTGAAAATTTCCCTAAAAATTCAGGCTGAAGCAGATGTCTGGGTTAGAACACTTCAAACTGAACATTTGAAACTTAGTAAAGTTGAATAGAAGATCTTATGATGAGAGGTCTTGAATAACCTGAACACAGATAGTGCTGCCTGCTCTGCTAGTAGCATGCACATATGCCCTAATAGTGTGTTTCAAGTATGGAAAACTCTACCTACACAGCATGATTGTGCACCCATTCAGATTCAGGCAATGAAGATCCCAACTTCTACCTACCAGTGTAACACCTGAACATTTGTGTACACATAGTGCATACAGAGGAGTTACCCTGGAAAATAGACTGCATCATTCTTCAAAGGTCTCTGAAGTTCTGTGAATTTTACCACTAGAGTTTCCAACAGAGCATTGATGCTTCTGAAAATAAGGTAGGACAACTTAGAGAAGAGAGCCTCTTGTTCCACTAGAATGACAAGTCTTTCTTGTTGTGGCTAAGGAGTAGAGCCCTGCTTTCTGATGAGAATGAAAAGCTTTGCAAGCTCTCTGATGTTAGGCTTCCTAAGGCCCCACTAGAAACTGTGGTGATGGGAAGAAAATAATGAATTATCTCTTCAGAGGTTCCTCAGGAATTCACGTAAACAAAAGGCTGCTAAGAAATCTCAGCATTTAATACCGGCATTGCACAGGATGGGTCTTCACCACACATAAACTGGATCTTGATGGTAATGTTTCTTGCAGAAGCCAGCCGGTTAGCAAAATTCAGCCTCTGAGGGTAAACATAGAGGAGATTTCTGGAGGAAAGACAAGAAAGAATAAAATGAGTAAGTGGCAAGCATGTCTGTTTGAAAATTAAGTGCACGAACTAGCACATTGCTGATTCCACTCCTTGTCCTTTATTTTCACTTACATAGTGAAAGCTTTGACAGGACTCTGTTTCAAAAGTCCACAAGGAAAAGGTAAATTCTTGGTGTGACATAAAGAGCTTAAGGCTTCTCATACAGTAAGCTATGCCTTTGAGAAGGTAGTCTTCCTCTCTCTCTGTTTTTTAAAAACATGTAAATCCATGCTACAAATGAATTAATATCTTTGCTTGATGTAATGAAAAGCAGGAATCTCTCAAGAAAGCAGTGCCTTTCTCAGATGTGAATAATCAGATTTTGGAAGGGAGAAGGAATCACTGAGAGGTAAGAAAAACAAGGAGACCAACAAGTTTCATACATTAATACATTCCTAGCCTTTAGCAACAAAAAGGCATATATTTCTAGCTTTTACAAATCTAAAAGCAGTATCAATGAATCTGAGTAAATGCAAACAAGGAATTTTGAACTATAATTTTAGAAACTGCCTTTTATAATAATGAATGTCAACAATACTTTGAAATACAGCACACTTTGCTGTTTTCTAGCTTCTGTACCTGAACAAATCATTAAACTTAAAAAGTACCTTTAATTTCTGTGGGTAATTTGGCTGCATAGATGGTAGTCCATGTTCAAACAATTCTGGTAAGAGTCAAAATGGGACTAGAAAGATTTTTCTCTATTGAAATCTATGGAAAACCTGAAATTTCAGCTAGACTTGGATTACACACACATTCTGAAATCATAGTTATGTCTATTTAGTGTCTTCTTTTCCCAGTCTGCTATAAGATTCTTATTGTTCGTCCTCTGAGTGTAAAGAATAAGACTAGTGCTGGTGGAAGCATGCTGGCTTTCCGTGAGAAACCATGAGGACTACCCATGGGCTTTCACACTTCATTTTGTCCATGACAGTCAGAAACTGCACACACAGTCACCCAGTCCTTATCACAGATATCTGCTCAGCACCATTATCATCAGCTGGCAATGTCAAGTAGCTATGGAGAACATGGTCATTAAGTCAGACAGTCCATTTTCCATTTATTGTATCCCAAGATCTGGAAAACTGTGGTTGATTCTCCATACCGACATGTGTCACAACATGACAGTACTCTTCAACTACACAGTCCAAGCTACTTCACTAATGAACACATGCTACGTGGGCCATGGCAAGCCTTAGCAAAAAAACTAGCATGTAACTTGCCTTTCCCTTCATTCCCAGTTGTACTCCTGCCTGTCAGCTAATGCACTTTCTTCCTTAGCATTTTAAATGCAATTTCTTCTTTGCCAAATTCTCTCCCAGATGATGTTAAAGAAAGCTAAGACTCCAATTCATACAGTGCTTAAAAGCTAAAGTTTGCATCATTGAAACTGTTACTCATGCAGCTTCAGGGCATCAGCACTGAGCTGATGAACAGATGCTGACACTGGACATCCTGCAGGAATGAAAGTGATGGCTGAATTTTAAAGTGGGAAGGTAAAGAGATGATCAAAAGAGGTTCATTCACACAGGCATGAATTGTAGACCCGTTGCTGACCACTGCCTAAGTGCTACCGCCTGCCAGCATCTATACACTCCAAAAGCCTGAGAGGAAGCAAAGACGAGGAACATTTCCGTATTGCAGTTAGCAGCCACACCAGGGCAACAAATACTGCTGTCTTTTACATAACAACACAGCTGGGATGCCCATAATGATATGGTGAGCTCCAGGAGGCATTGTGTCTCCCTTGAGGCTCTGTGCCAAGCAGAAATATTCAAACAATATGCCACAGCAATTACTTTTGGTCAGCGTGATTCAATTTCTCCCCTCACTCCCCACACAGAAAGTGCAGGGCTCTACCTCTAGATACGGTCGGATGTACTTAAAAAGCAAAAGAGCTATTCAGGGGTCAGTAATAGTCTATGCAAGCTATGGCAGAGCACCCAACATTACTGAGAGCAGAGTCTCAAAGGCCAGCAGAGTCCTGGGTGAAACACAGATCCAGACAGATTCTCTGGGTTGGAGACTGACCCAGCAGTGGGATGGCAAGATAAGAAGCTATTTCAGAATCGGTTACTTGCTGGGAGAGCTAAGGGTCCACCTAGCCTGGCACAGGACACCATGCAGCAATTCTCTTTCACATTTGCTGACCTTACTACACTTTCATGGGACTTAGAAGTGATTTGATCACTTCCCGTGGGCAAACCAATGCAGACATATCTTCTGCCAAAATAAAGTCTATTCAGAGTTTCAAGTCTGAGACCCTCTCACTGAATATTCCTGTTTGTAAATATTTCTTTAGCATATGCGACACATAACAAAATTATGCTAGATTACACCTCATGTGAGGTGTCAGAAAGTGCATCTCAAACTTATAATGAGTATCAGGCATTTTCAATGATGACTGTAACAAGAATGCCACACATAGCAAAAGCCAGCATATGTGCAAATAGTCCCTACTGATACAAACCAGAAAAGTTCTGTAGGTGAACAGTGATGGATAGGTTAACATTGACATTTAAAACTTATGGTACTGGAAACAAAAACTGATGCAACCATTAATTAAAATTTTCAATCTTTTTTAATTCCTCTACAATTCTGGTGGTGAATCTTCAGGGAAAAAAATGGTGGAAAATTATAATGCAAATCACAAGTGCTTAACCAAATAAGGAAACCTGTACTTGCCAGCCATTGACTAGGAAAATGGCACAATGACAGAACTACAACATGCCACATTCGAGAGGATGTGTGTGTCATACATTCTGGATCTTAGCATGGATAATTTGGATAATATCTTGAGTGATTTTTTTCATGTTGCTAAAATTTTGAACTATCTGAAGAGTTAGTGGACAGATTTAAAACTAGGCCAATGGCCCTGTAGAAGACTCACAGGGCTACCTTGCTCTCTCTAGATTCCATGGGCAGAGGGGCAGAAAGGAGTAGATAATGCTCTGACAGCAGTAACAGGAATGAGAGACCACTGTACACCAACAGTGTTTCCTCACCCCAAACTAATCAAGGACAGGGCAGACTGATTACCACCAAAGCAGAAGGCCTCCAGCTCAGACTGCAGACTACAGCTAGTCTAAGCACAGTGCCAAGTGGTTTGCAATTAAATGGAACAAAACAGAAAAGGAAAGGGTTTTTTCCCTCCTTATTCTGAAAATCCCCTGAACATTAGGCACTTCCCCTGTCAAAGACAGGACTTCCACTGTCTGGTTAAGCCGAGTTACTGCAGAAGTGATGGGACAAATCCCTCTTCCTCAGCATTGACATTTCATAGCATCAGTAAACAGCATCATTTTCACTTATATTTAATGAGAAAATAAAATGACAAGCAAATTTTAAATTATATGACCTTTCCATTAAACAAAAGTAAGTACACAACAAAAAGACTCAATTTTACAGTGCACAAAAAAAGTAGGCTGTCTGATCTCTCTGGCATAAATCACAAGTAGCATAATTTAAAATAATGGTATTGGACCAGTAAAAACCAAGAAACTAGCAAAAGCTGAGTTCAAAGACTGTAACAGAAGACTCCACTTCTATTATCACAAGGGAAAAAGCTATTATTAAAAAAGAAAAGAAGACATCTTTCTTCTAAAATACCTTACTTTGGCAAAAAAAAAACCCAAACCCAACAAACTTCAACACATAAGTAAATACAATCTTTTCACTTCTTTTAAAGATTCAGGAGAAAAACTAGCTAGATGTTTCATTAGCATTTGTCCGGACATTTGCAAAGGTATTGTGCCAGTAAGAGCATAACAGTTTGTGTTTTTATAAGTTTTCATTTATAAAACATTATTAAGTACATTTCTCTATATAATCTTCTCCTACATTCTTGGTAACGTTGATAGAAAACAGGTAGTTATTTTACCTGTTTTTTTCATTCTTTTAATGTCTACCTGTATAGCACTGGTGAAAAATTGTTTGCAGACTCACAATCAAAAGTTAGGAAACATTAAATCACCTGTAATACAGCAGCAGGCCACAACACTCAGTTATGACTAAATGCTAGCAAATTGCTTAAATAAGACAGGATGATTGTACTTTTCACATTAGAGGAAAGGGAATAAAATAACATGAAACACTTCATATCTGGCTCTATTCAAATTCAGAGGCACTTGACATAGGTTAGTTTAATCTCAGACTCAAAATGGTATTCACCACGCAGAGAACTAAGCAATGAGAATTGCCTGACAGTTAAATTAGGGAAAGGGTCACAAGACTCCACAGAGGGTCTGGATGGGCTGGATCGATGGCCAAAGGCCAGTGGTATGAGATTCAACAAAGCCAAGTGACTGGTCCTGCCCTTGGGTCACAGCAACCCCAGGCAGTGCTACAGGCTTAGGGCACAGTGGCTGGAAAGCTGTCTGGTGGAAAAGGACCGAAGGGTGCTGGATGACAGTGGATGCACATGAGTCAGCAGTGCATCCAGGTGGCCAAGGAGGCCAATGGCGTCCTGGCCTGTATCAGCAATAGTGTGACCAGTAGGACTAGGGCAGTGGCTAGAACAATTCCCCTGTACTTAGCACAGGTGAGGCCACAACTCGAATCTGCATTCATCTCTGAGCCCCTTACTCCAAGAAAGACACTGAAGTGCTGGAGTGAGTCCAGAGAAGGGGAATGGTGCTGGTGGAGGGTCTGGAGCACAAGTCTGATGAGGAGCTGCTGAGAGAGCTGGGGTCATTTAGCCTGGAGAAAATGAGGTCCAGGGGAGACCACATTGCCCCCTACAACTACCTGAAAGGAGGTTGTAGTGAGGTGAGGGTTGGCCTCTTCTCCCAGGTACCAAGCAATAGGACAAGAGAAACAACCTCATGTTGCTTCAGGGTAGATTTAATTAGATATTAGGAAACATTTCTTCACCAAAAGGGTTGACAAGCATTGGAACAGGCTGTCCAAGGCAGTTGTGGAGTCTCCACATGAAGTATTTAAAAGACATGTAGACAT